AATCTGGAGGGCTGCCCTGAGGTTGGATAGGTGTGGGCGCTCAGCCGATGAATGAAGGACAATGCCTTCTCGTTGGGCCCTGGGTGTTGGCATGTACTGCTCTATTCACAGATGAACCCAGGTGCAAGGACCGTCAGTCACTAGTTCCTTGAGGACAAAGCTGGCCTCTTGCTCCTCTCCCTCCCCCTCTGCTGAATGCGCAGGATCCCGAACAGCACCTAGCACTCGTCAGCAGAGCCTTGCTCTGACAGCTCCCAGGTCCTGACTCTGCTGTTGGCTTGCTGTGGGGCCCTGGGCCAGGCCCTGCCCTCTCAGGGCCTCAGTTTTCTCATTCGTCACAAATACCATTAATAAGAGCCCATTTTTATTGAAACTGTCTTTTCAACACCTTATAAACTCTATGAAGCAGGTATTATGACTGCTTGTCATCTCCATGTTACAGGTAAGGCACAGAGAAGCTGAGTGACTTGCTCAAGGTCACGAGCTGGTCCATGGTAGAGCTGGGGTTCCAGCCTAGGCCGCTGGGTCTGAAGCCCCCATTGTGAGCCTGTGTTGCTTCCTACAACGATGGGGACAATGTGACGTTTTCTCTCACTCTGGTGCCTTCCACCAAGGCTGAGGCCAGCCCACAGGGGGCGTCTGGTGAGGCTTCGGAGCAGAGCCCTGCACAACAGCTTCCTGCACGGAGGGCCAGGGGCATCACAAACCCAAGGCTGCTGGCAGCCAGTGTGGCCCAGTGCCAGTGCTGGGCCCTCGGAGTAGCAATACTTCACCAGGTGGAGGAGAAGACCACGTCATGAGCGTTTCTGCTGCTCAGATGAGAAAACCAAAGCCACAGAATCCCCAGAGCACTTCCCCTAAGCTCATGACTGTACAGCATCTCTCAGCACCCCTGTGTAGCACTTGGTCCCCTTTCCAGACTGAAAACTGCACAGGGGACCATGCCTTGGATACTAGGGATTAGCAGAGCACCTGGCACACGAATGAATGAATGAATGAATGAGCAGATGAATACAAGTGACCTAAAATCACGTGGCTAGTAAGACAGGCCTTCCAGAGCCCTTTCTACTCCTGGATGGATTCTGGTCAGACTGAAAGAAAGAATTCTTCATTGAGAGAAAAGGAGAAAGTTCCTCCAGGAGGCCACATCTTCCTATGGCATCAATCTGTCAGAAGCTACAGATGAGAAGAGCAGTGTGGGAGAGGGAGAGAGCCTGAAGGTGCTACCTTCTGGGCATACCAGGCACAATGCTGTGATGGGGGCAGCGGGTAGGCCCCTGCGGCTGTGGCCAGAGGCGGGATTGTAGGCACTTATCCGGCTGGGCTTAGTGGGAGGTAGGTGGGCCTATCACAGGGCTAGAAGCAGTGCTGGGAAGTGCTGAGCAGAGGGAACCTGGCCATATCCCAAGGTCTCTGCTTCCCTCCCGCCCAATGTGGGCACAGAGGAGCAGCCTGTGTGAGTCCCGCAAATCAAGCCTGTGTTCTAAAGACCTGAAGAAGCTCCTGCATCAGTCACCACTCCTGGGACAGGTGCTGCCCTTGATAGCGACAGAGCATTTACCCACTAATGGGGAAAATTTGAACAGCTAGGCCCATTTTATAGCTGAAAACACCCGAAGAGGCCAGAGTGACTGGCAGAGCGGTGGAGAACTGGAGCTGAGAACCTAATCCTGCCAAGCCCAGCCCGGGTCACAGCCACGCCCTGGGCCGGGGTGTGCACTGGCGCCTAGGAAGCGGGGGCCCTCAGAAGGGCTGAGCCCTGTGTTTCTTCAGCCAGGAGCCTGGACTGACCTGGGCCAACCCCTCTCACACATCTGGTTCCATCTAATCAAAACCAGCCTGTGTGCTTTTCTCCCTGTTCAGGGGCAGGCTCCAAAGAACTGGACAGGCATTAGGCAGAGTCAGGTGACAGGAGGAATCTAATTTGCCAAATGGCTCATGATCCATCAGCTCTCCCAGGAGCTATGGGAATCAGAGGTCACTTGTGTGCAAAACAAGCTCAGTCTTAGCTCCTCTGACATGCTCTCACTGTGAGCTGTAACAATCATTATTGCAGTTGACACTAATGGTGGGCAATTGTCACAACAGACTGAGGCTCCTAGAGAGGCAGACAACCTGCCTAGTCCCCAGGTCCCTGTCTCCCCATGGGCATTCAGGGGCAGCTGGCCCATGTGCTGTGTGTGTGCTCTGCCCTCTTTGGGTCTTCCACACAACCATGGAAACCCTGGGAATGCTGAAGCTTGTCCTTTGAGAGTGATCCAATAAGTTATCTGTTGTTTTTTTAGATAGCAGAGGCCACGCAAAGACCCTAAGGAGAGAAAGCTCTTCTTAATGCAGACTGGGACTGAGGCCCCCAAATCCATATTCTGGTTAAACTGGGATTCTTGGCTTCCTTAAAAATCAGGATCTGGCCACCTGGGGCATCTGGGTGGAGTGAGCCATGTGTGCCCAGGGTCCTACCCAACACCAGCCACTGCACAATTTACGTGATACCAGCCCCTGGAAGTGTCGGCGCTTCCCCAGATGCCCTCCCCCTTCCCTAAGCATCACTTCCACCTGTGTTTAACCAGCTTTCCCACAGCTGAAATCTCAACTCCTGCCACAGCCCACCAGGCCCCACGTTGTCCAGCCCCAACCCCCTCACCCTGGGCTCCTCCTGCTTTCGTGCTCTGCTTCTCCATCCTGCCCTTTGTTCTGCTTTTCATGTGCCCATTCCCACCCCGGGGCCTTTGCACACACCTGGCCTGGCACACTCCCCACAAGCTTCTCGCCTGACTTTCTCATTAGCTCTAGCACTGTCTGCTCTACCACCCATTTCTTTCCTCATGCACCTCATCACCTCCCGAGGAGCGAGCCCCGTAGCTAACGTGCCTGGCTCGGATCCCGGCTCTGCCTCTTTCCTAACTTGACTGGGCTTTGGCTTCCTCAGCGTCGCAATCCAGCCTTGCCGAGCAGTGGCGAGGCTGGAGTGAGCTGGTCTTTGGGTGGCGCTCAGGGCCGTGTCCGGCTCACACACGCTCAGGGCCATGTGTGGCTCCAGCAGCAGCTGCTGTTGCTGCTCCCACATCATCCCCTCCCAAACCCTGGTCCTCAGCACAGCAGATGCTTACAGGCCAAACCTATAACAAACAGGCCGTAGCTTCGGGTGTGACCTTTCCGCCATACACCCTCCTTTCAACCAGGGACCCTGCTGGGGAGAAAGCTGCGAGTCAAAGGAACAGAGCACACACTCCCTGGCCTGGGACTTCACAGCCTGCTCTGAGCAGTCACTCTGTGAAATCCCCTCCCTTGATGAAAGCAGGGGCTCCTCCTTGCACTTGCTTACTTTGTCCCCAGAAATCTGCTTCTTATACAACCTGTTGGGCTCAGAGTCCTGGTTTACAGGGTTTGCCTCCATTGCGGGCAGCTTGGCCCCATGGCCTACCACTGGGAGGTCTAGAAGACACAAAATGAACTCCTGATGCCCGGGAGAGTCACCTGGGTGGAGTGTGGACAACATGACAGTAGCAAGAGCCAGGAGCCACAGGGCTTGGACTTTCTGTCCTTCCAGGGACACCACAGAGCCCTAACGAGCAGGCCCGTCCTGTCTTCGAGGCAACGAACAGTAAGCATTCTAGGCAGGCTGTTTGAGCATTTCCACTTTATTATCCTGAGGACTTTTTAAATGTTTTGCTTTCACTTTCTCAGGAACTGTTTTCTGATGAAACTCATACCTGCACTGGCAGAGTCGTACCTCACAGCCTCCTGCCTGCTCACGGGAGGCTGGTACCTCATCCCAGGGTCCTGCTCCATCTCCTGCTGGGTTAACACCTTGTCCCCCCTTTTCGGACAAAGGAATCTGGGAGCAGTCAGTGGGGCCACCCAAGGGAGGGCTTCCAGCGTGGGAGGGGAGGAGATGGATTCGCACAGGGTCCAGCTGGCCCAGAATGCAGTGCGTGCCCTTTGGCTCCCCACCTCAGTGTGGACCCTCTCTAAGCCTTCTGCAGGGACTGCGTACTAGAGAGGTTCGACCTTCCCAGGAACGCCCACAAGCCTCCTCCTTGTCAAGGGTCAGCAATGGGGGCGTGCTCGAGCTGGGGCAGTCCTGGCCTTCTTCCTTCCATCTACTCCCTTGACAGCTCATGACAGCCAGGCCCCGGGACCCTCAGCTCCTGCCTCTGGCCTCACAGCCCACTCTGCTGCAGCACCTAGCCCTCAAGATGCCTAACCTTGCATTACCTTCAGCAAGAGATGCCCTGTGCCTTTCCAAATGCTGTTCTTTGCCTGGAAGCCTCTCTCCACCAAGCACATGTGTCCTGGCTTTCTGGCCAGCTCTGCCACCACCTCACAGGCCTGCTGCCCTGAGCCCAAACTCCAGAATCTGACCACTGAGGCCCTAACACCATATGCCTTTGCCTGCTGGGCTTGGCTGGCGGCCAGGCTCCGCTTCAGCCTGGGTCTGCCATCTAGTGCTCCAGCTGGTGAGGTGTCTTCCTGGGTCCTCTGCACCTTCCCAGGCTGACCTGCCATCCCGCCTGGCCTCCAAAAAACAGGCTGCCGACCCCAAGGACCCTCTCTGGGTGGGAAACCCAATGAACATTCTGCAGGGAGGCGCTGGTGCTGACAGGCTCACGGAGACAGAGAAGCTGGCACACAACCTAGGTAGCCTCAAGCCCCCTTTAGAGAAGGAACCTGCAGAGAATGGTGCCCCACTCTTGCCAGCCATAGTCAGCCCCAACCCAGAAAGGAAAACAGCTCCTCTGGTCACACATACCACTTGCGGCCCCACACATAAACACGAGAAACACCCACAGCCCTAGCGTGGATGGCAGAGGGAAGGAGCTGGAAGGAGGCCTACGCAGAACCAATACCAGATGTGCAAAACAGCCATTCAGACTACCACCCACATCCCATGCCTTGACCTTGAGGGCCCTGGATGGAATCGAGATGTAGAGAAGGGGACTGGGGGGCTGCCCATCTTGAGGGGAGGGGTAGGCCTGCTCAGCACAGGCCGGACTCACCATTGGAGCGGTGGATGCAGGTATGCTGGTTGTCACTGAGGAAGAAGCCACTGTGGCACTGACACTCGTAGCTGCCCATGGTGTTGACGCAGATCTGCTGGCAGCCACCATTATTGTCCTGACACTCGTCCACATCTGTGAGAAGAGGAAAACAGGGGGACCTGAGTTGGAAGCAGGGGATGATGGGGTGGCGGGACAGGGAGGCAGTGAATTTCCTCACAGGGCCCTGAAGGGAGGAGGGACTCTGGAGAGGGCCTCCCTGGTGCTGTATTATGGTGACACTGAAGTAGGCTTCACAGCCCTGCACCACGGTGGTACCCTACAGTGGGCCCCATGGCAATGCAATATGGTGGTAGTTTACAATGGGCTGCCATTGTGCTGTGCTATAGGTACAGTAGGCTGTATGGTGCTGTGCTGTAGAGGTAGAGCGGGACCCTGCGGCACCGCTGGGCCGTAGCGGCAGAGCGGGACCGTACGGTGCTGGGCCCGTAGCGGTAGAGTGGGACTCTATGGTGATGCCGCACAGTGGCAGAGCGGGACTGTACAGTGCTGGGCCCGTAGCGGTAGAGTGGGACTCTATGGTGATGCCGCACAGTGGTAGAGCGGGACTGTACAGTGCTGGGCTGTAGTGGTAGAGTGGGACTCTATGGTGATGCCGCACAGTGGTAGAGCGGGACTGTACAGTGCTGGGCCCGTAGCGGTAGAGTAGGACTCTATGGTGATGCCGCACAGTGGCAGAGTGGGACTGTACAGTGCTGGGCCCGTAGCGGTAGAGTGGGACTCTATGGTGATGCCGCACAGTGGCAGAGCGGGACTGTACAGTGCTGGGCCTGTAGCGGTAGAGTGGGACTCTATGGTGATGCCGCACAGTGGTAGAGCGGGACTGTACAGTGCTGGGCTGTAGTGGTAGAGTGGGACTCTATGGTGATGCCGCACAGTGGTAGAGCGGGACTGTACAGTGCTGGGCTGTAGTGGTAGAGTGGGACTCTATGGTGATGCCGCACAGTGGTAGAGCGGGACTGTACAGTGCTGGGCCATAGCAGTAGAGTGGGACTCTATGGTGATGCCGCACAGTGGTAGAGCTGGACTCTATGGTGCTGGGCTGTAGTGGTAGAGCGGGACTCTATGGTGATGCTGCACAGTAGAACTCCCGAAAGTTGCTCATGGAAGTAGTTCAATGGCTATGATGCTAGCTCACTCCAACTGAACAATACTGTCTGTGTGCCCAGCACTGTTCTAAGCATCTTACCTGTATTAATTCCTTTAATTCTCACAATAACCCTGTAAATCAGATCCAGGTGCCAGTGCATTTTATAGATGAGGAAACTTAGGTGTGGAGAGGCAGAGTCATTTGTCCAAAGTGCTACACATGGTAAGTGGCAGAGGCAGGATTCAAACCTGGTGATCTGACCCTGAAACCTTGGCTCTCACTGACGTCGCCAGACCCCCGCTCTCTAGGAAGACAGAGCAGCTTGCAGCAGCTGTCCCAACACAGGGAGCTTTGCCAGCTCCACCCCACGAGCCCCTCTTTCTTGACCCAGCTTAGGGTTACCAGCAGCAGCACAACATGATGGTGGGCTGGAGCACAGGGCTGCGCCTGAGGCTCTGTGCCCTGCAACTGATTTCAAAAGCCCCGAGAATGAGGAGGTTTTTATTAAGAAAAGGCCCTGACCTCCGGCTGCCGAGACGGCTGCAGAAGGCTGCCAAGCGGTCTTTCCCAGTCTCGGGGAGAGGCTGATCTCAGGGCCGACACTCATTTCTGATCAGAGGCTGCTGGCACAAAGGGTGCTATTGGCTGAAAAGAGTCTTTATGGAGTTCTGGTCTTGAACAGAACAGCATGTTTCAATTACCAGAGTCATAACCCCCTACTCTGTCAGTTTGTTTAATGAAAGAAGGGCTTCTTAAACCTTAATGTTCCATGTCTGTATTGTCATTTTAATAGGCAAATATATAAAACCACAAAGGCAGCGTGAGCTACTGAGTGCTTCTAGCCAGTCCCTGGCCCCCAACACACACACACACACACACACACACACACACACACACTCACTCTTTGGTGTTGAGCTTTTGATACACTTCTTTTGGACACAGACATATTTTACTGTTGGAACCAAAAGGATGTGAACAGGTAGAGAGTTGGTGACCTGCCCTGAACCGGGAGAGGACTCAGCTGCGGATGTGAGCTTGGTCCTATTTAGACTCATGGGCAACAGACCACTTTACCACCTAAGAGACCGCTCGGCTGCCTTTGAGGCCAACGGCAAGGCCATTATTCTTTGGCAAGCTCAAATGTCAGCCGCGTGGGCAGCCGGAGGAGGCAGGCAGAGCTCTGAACTCTAAAAGCCACCTGCGGTTACAGCTAACCTGGTAGTGGTGGCCCTTGCTGAGAGGAGCCATGTGATCACACTGTGATCTGACCCGACAGTGTGACTGGGGAAGCCTGGGGAGGAGGGAGAGGGACTATCCTCAGCACCTTTCTCCATTCAACAAAGCCCTGCTTAGGACTCCCTAGGGGCCCAGTGCCAATGCCACCTTTGCTGGGGGCAGCCCCAAGGTGTGGTGAGTGGTTGCCTCCCTTCCCTCTGTGCCTCAGCCATGTCTGCCCCTGGGGTCTGTCTCCAGCCTGCCCTGGACCATGAAAAGCACCGATCCAGGCCCTGTGTCCTACTGATCCTGTTAACACAAAGCAAACAGCCCTCCAGTGTTTGTGATGCGTCAGGCGCAGGCTCATGTGATCCTCGTGGCTCCCTGTGTGATAGGTCACGTTATGGATCCCATTTTACAGATGAGAACATGGAGGCTCTGGGAGCTGAAGCAGCTGGAGTACAGTGACACAGCACATCAGAGTGAAGGCCGGACCCAGCCCTGCTGTCTAGCTGCAGAGCGCGTGCCTTTGGCCCCATGCTAAGCTGGCTGTGTCAGCAAGTGCGCTCAGACTAACGCTGAGAAGAGCCGGCTGCTCCTCACAACAGCTAGAGTCCCGTGTCAGCTAGAGCACATGCAGGTCAACCCCAGATGCAGCTTGCCACAAGGAGCATCGAGAAGGGCCCAGCATTCCTGGGGTTAGTCCCATCTCCGGGCCAATAAGACCCTGTAGAGGCCTGTGCTGGCATACGCTTAACAGTGGGACCTGGACGTCGGTAGTGTCCCTTGGACTCAGTCCAGACCCCTCTCATGCCACAGTCGTCGCCTTTCTTCCCATGGTTCTCAGATTCCTTGCTCTGTGCCTTGACTTCCCCAGGCCTAGTAAAGGTTCAACTGTAAAGTAAGCAAAACAGATACAGACCCTCAAATGCTGAGTTTCTGGTGCAGAAGTGCTATCTCACCCCTGTCACGAGTAAGCTCCCTGGTGCCGCCCATCTGCAGCCGTCTGGCCTGGCCATTCCTCACCTCACTGAGAGCTTGAAGCAAAGGGCAGTTGACGTAAGGCATCTACAAACCCTCAGTGACCTGGCAGGGTGGCTGGGCCTTGGGCCAGGGCTGTTTACACTAGCAGGGAACAGTGACTTGCCAGTGCTGATGAATAATGGGGAACAAATGTAGAGCCATGTAAACATGTCTTGTCCCCATTCCCAAGTGATCAAGCCCTGAGATTAAGCAGGCGGGAAGCTGGGGCTGCCCCCTGCACCCCTTTCCCACCGTGGGCCAAACAGGCCTCACCCCCGGCCCCTGAAGAGGGGAGGAAATCATGGCTGCCAAATCTTTAGGGAAGGGCCTGAGGCCCCATGCATGCCCCCTGCACCCCTGTCTCCAGCACTCCAAGTGGGCCCCACGCTGAGATTGAAGAGTGTCCAGCTGTGGCAGCTGGGCCTGTGAGATGCTGCCCACGAGCCCAGGACAGACGGGGCTCACCTGAAGGCCCTGGCCAGGCCTGAGAGGGCACTGTGGGAAACAGTCCTTCCGCCCTCTCCAAGGGGTGCTGTGAGCCCAGCACACGTCGCCCCATGGTCCCCAGCACTCGGCACACCCCATTATGAGAGGTTGGAGGGATCCCCTCATGGCAAGAGGGGAACCCATACCCGGGAATCAGGCTCCCTGAGCTCGACCCCTGTACCGAGACCCGCTCGGCTGGAGGGACCCTCACCCAGGCGGCACTGAAGGTATTGAGAGGCAGACACTCAGAACAGCAAAGTGGGTCTATAGCCTTCCGAGCTAAGAGCCTCAGGGGCTGACACACTCCCGGCTGAAGGCCTCGAGCAGACGCTGACCCACGTAGCGATTCTCTCTGCACAGGTGATCATTATTAACAAACACATGTTGGGTCTCATAACACCAAATATGCCAAGTAGGCAGCTGGTGCCCCCTTATCACTGATCACAAACTAAAAAGCATTCTCCATGAGAGAGCCATGGGGGCAGGGTCAGCTGTCTTAAAGAACTGTTTTAACCGGTGTGTGATGTTTACACATTGTCCTGCCACTTTGGAATAGTAATTTTCTACTTGGTGGGGGGAGTTAGGTTTTCCTTGCCATCATTCTTCCTAGCAAACAATATATTGTATCGTACAGTCAGTATTTCTCAATATTCATAAACTTAACATTTCTCAACACCCCTATCTTGCGCTGTGTCCTGTGGGGGATGCCCAGGCCTTATCCCTGGGAAAAGCCCCCAGAGCTTCAGGGCTGCAGACTGTGTCCTCTGGAGGGGCTCCTGGAGTGCTGGTGGTGCGGGCAGCTCTCCTCCGTCTCTGCACGGACTGGCCCCATGTGAGAATTCTGCCCCGATCCATGCTCGCACATAGAGGGGAGCTGGGCGGGGTTAACAGCCTCACCACCGTAAATAACGGCACCTGCTTCCAGGGAGGCCCAGCTCAGGCACCATCTTAAACCACACAACGGCTCCTTGCCGGGGGCATTATTCTTACCATCCCTGATTCTCAGATGAGAAAACTGAGGCCTGGAGAAGGGGAGAGACTTCCCCAAAGCTCTAAAAGAGGCAGAAGGAGGACTGGAAGCCCCATGAGCCCAAAGCCCTCACTCTCCTCCTCCAGGGTTCAGCTGTGAATGAGGCCCCTTCAAGCTGTGATGGTGGTGAGACTAAGGTACCCAGATGCCGATGCTCACAAACCTCCCTGGATGCCACATGCCCACCTCTCCAAAACCCAGTGCTTAGCTTCCTCCTCTGTGGAGTCTTTC